CTCTATTTTTATAACAAATTTATTTTCAAAATTTGATCAAGTTCCTACATTATGTCAAATGACTGAAGAACCTCCTTAATTTTTGAAATTATTTTAATCATCAAACGTGTGTATTATTTTGTATAATTAAATTTTCATACATAGACCTTTCGAGTTTCCCAGGCTTCGCGTTAATTACACGAAATATTAATGCTTGGATCCTTCAATACTAAAAGACCGCGCTCCTTGAACTCTTGAATCTTTATATATTTATATCTACTTCAATTTATTTTAATTACTTCGCATGCAGACAGCTGCGCGTATCATCGCTATTAAAAAAAAAAGACATTTCCGTTGGGCGATAAATGCCCATGGCCAAAGTATTCCAGTACAACTATCAACAAGATAGAGTCCGAATCAAAGCGATACGAACATAGGGAGAGAAAGAAAGACAAAGAGGACACTGATACGCGCGCACGCACATTTAACACGCGTAACGCGTGACATTTCGTCGAGTTTTCGGCCACGATTGAGATCGAACACGTGACATTCACTCGTTTTATCTCGTCTCGTAATGCGAGAGCTTTTAAGAAAATTGAAAACAAGGAGATGTTTTTTCCTCGTCTATTCCTCTTTCTTTTACTTCAACGAATGCGCGCAGTGGATGACCACGGGACTTGTGAACGGTTGAATTCGCGGTCAATGAAGCGGGACGTCGTTGACGCTTCTCGACGGCGGCTTCAAAGGCTTCTTCGCGCGCTTCCGACCGCTCGCACGTCCGCAAACACTCTGCCCCGGCCGCACGGAATCTGAGACTTGATAGACCACTTACATTTACTAACATCATTATTTTTTTTCATACCTCCAACGCGGTTTAGGTAAGGCTGATTTGTCAATTACGTTGACAGTACAAATTAATAAAATTAATATCATAAACTCGGCAATTTTAAATTAATTTATTTTAAATTAATCATATTGTCTCAGAACACAGACGAGAAATGGCACTACTTTTCACTCTCTTCGCATTGTCTAATAATAGACTGTCTATTAAGATCCACATTTTAAGAAACAATAATTATGCGTTCTATTATACACATAACCAGAAGAACATAATTATTTATTGATACCACATTCTACGATATTTGCTTCAAATGTAGCTGAAATGTTAATACTGCGAGAGAGAGCGAAGTATAATTTTTAATTTTATATATTATTGTAATATTCTATTTTAACATTGATAATGATCCAATAGAGATCGAAACGTTTGTTTGTCTTTATTTATTGTTTATAGCCGGCACATTAAAGTTTTTATATTTTAATATGATATGTTTATTTACTAAGTTTTAAATTATAACGATAAACCTTTGGCTCGTAGCCCTATTCCTTTTTATTTTTTGATTTTATTGAGCCTTATTACTTTTATATTTTAATAAAATTAAGTAAAAAAAATTCAATTTATTATCGAACCTACAATAATCCTTAAAAATATTATCATTATTATAGATAAATTAACTTAGCCTTTTTCAAATATTATATATATATATATAAAATATATTTAATTTAATTAAATTCGATTTGCAGGATTGAATGTATATATAAATTCATACCAAATTATTTAAGTATTAAAAATCCAACTTGACCGTTTAGGACCTTTATTTCCTATTTGTTGTATATTCACATGACATCTTAAAATATACTGTGTTTAATACGCGTTATATTTATTTTATTTTAAAATTGCCGAGTTCTATAGTAAATATTTCATGGCTTATCTAATTTCCGCACGTGTCTATAGCACGCTATGCGTAACGTACCTTACATGAATCGTATCACGCAAATAACACGGGAATAACGTACGTACATTATCACGAATATCGCGCATGGATTTCATCATAAAGGTCAGCTGTAAACACGCACGTCACGTAAGCATAAATTTCAGTTAAAGAGCGAGCATAAAATGTTTGTTAGTTGTACATAACTAGAAATTTCATTCATATTCACTTGCACTCAAAATAATCATGATTAGAGATAAAACTAACAGGCAGATTACAGTGTTTAACAATGTAACATTTCAGAGTTTGAAGTGTAAAATAACTTCACAATAAAAATTATTTGCGGATATAAAAGAATTACGACAGATTTTATCGGATTTTACTCTTTTTTGACCAAATACATATATAACTTTAAATTTATTACAGTTCTTCAAATAATGTCTCTTGTTTTATCTATTAACGTTTGTGCTAATAAATCAATAATTTGTCAAATCATTTAAATTTAATATTCATATGTCTGAAATATAAAAAAAAGAATAGCGAAATTGATTATTAAAATATCTTCGAAAGAAAAAAATGTCGTTAAATTTATTAAACCCTGCTTTCTTTTAATATACAAGATCATTTTTGTATTAAAATGGATAAGAGGGATTCATTCCTTAAATCCATCAAAGTTATATAAGTGTCGTTATGTATGATTACATGCTGTAGTCTACTCCGGAGAACTTATAAATAAGTTAGCAAAGTCCTTAATAATACAATGCTCATTCCGTAACATTGTGGACTAACTTATAGGTAAAGTCGGTAAATGAGGAAACAACAAACAGCTGGGAAAATTATACGTTAACGAGCAGTAAGAAAAGCAATGAGAAAGAGAACTAAAGAGGAGAAAGATCGAGATGGCGGCTATAACGCCGCGAGGATGACTCAGCAAAAGAAGACCGTGACCTTGCTCGTTGCGCCGAAACGCCACGTGTCGATAATACGAATGAATGTAAAGGCTATCCGCTAAAAACATAACCACGCAATCATTTTTATTTATAGTACGATCATTTATAAAACATTCTTTGATTTTCCAGAATGATTCATCACATAGAAATGTAACGCAACTTATTAAAATCGCGTTGTGTTAGTTATAAATTAAATTTACACCTAAATTCTAAGCAGAATCGTAAGGCTCGTAACATATTCCTGTAAGAATTTTTAGGTGCTTATACCTTAATACAATATTTTTACAGACAAGCTTTTTACTAGTCATTTATAAGAAATCGTAGATATTTACGAATAATCGTACGTCTTATATGATACATACACATAAAATTAAAAAACTAGTCGTAAGTTCTTACAAGCTTTACGAGAACACGTTACGAGTCTTACGATTCTGCTTAGAATTGATTAGTTCAGGTTGTAAACCAGATTAATTTAAAGCGTAAACTAATTTAGACCATAGATCGGATCATATAAAAACATAATATATCTAATAAATGTCTGAAAAAGTGATATATTATCGATGTAAAGATTTAAGAGATATATTGTTGATGAGTTTTCGTGCAACATAAAAACTCTTATTGTTCATAAAACGTATTACCGAATAGCCAATAACAATACGTAAAAATAGCAAGAGCGTCTTTAAATGTCACGATACTTTATTGACCGCTTGTCACTCGTCCAGTAATTTTCTTTGGTTGAAATATTAACAGTTACTCATTCGAAGATGTCACTCAAATACCATGAAACTACGACCACACGCACGAAGATGTATAATCGTACATCATCCCGCGATGTAATGATGCTTTCAAATCACGATCGTCCGTCAAAAGCTTTACAATCGCTCAAGTGTGTTATAATGTGGCATTATTCCGCAGTTTAACTCTCGTCCGATATTAACTGTTGCTATAACTTCAAAAAAGCAGACAATTTCTCTATCATGATGTTAATCCTCATCAATCGTGAATCAAAGCGATACACGGAACGTCGGCAACGTGACATCTCATAGCTAATGAAGTCACTCATCCGTATTCGATATATATTAATTTCGACATTGTGTCGTTATCGTCATCAATATTTTAGTCACAATTACCGTCGTACAATAGTCACAAGAGCCAATACCATCAATTTAATATTACAATAAATCATTATTCCATTACGTTTATAAAACGTATTGCCACTTTCGAAAAGAAGCGTCTTTTCTCGCGATAGACACGGCTGAATTGTTCTGAGTAACACACGAGGGATTGAATCAGGTCGTGGCATTCATCAGCGATCATTCATAACGGCACGTGGAGGTCCACGGAACCAGAAATCCACGTGGCGTACTCTCTCATCGAGTGGTTATATTAGATCAGCTGGTACGCCGGCGGCTTGCTGGCTGGATGGTTGGCTGTCGTGACGTCAGCTCGTTCGTTCGCCGGATACCCGCAGAGCGCTCGCTCGGCCAGATCAGTTGCGGCGAAGTAGGTCGGCGAAGTGGATAGAGCTACCTTCCTTTTCACCCTGAAATCCTGCCACCCATACGGGGGAGAAATGTGCGAGCTAAAGATAACCCTACATCACCTATTCTTCGTATCTCATTTCGGTTCGGTTATCTTCTGAATCGTGTGTCTCTTAT